GAGTGTCTCAGATAGTCAAGTCATGCATCAAGTCATATCATCATCACGTATGAACCAATCGCCTTGTTATTTGTAATAGCTCTAACAGGTGGAACTAGACAATTAGTAACATGGGGTTTTTTTTCCCGTACGTTAAGTACAGGTATTAATATGTGTATAGCCATGTTGGTTATCACTTAATGTTCTTTTGTTAGATTCACTCCTCAGCTTTTTGCTGAGCGTGTAGTTGTTTTTGCTACACGCAGGTAGACATGACGGTGCTGGTGCCAACCCTGGAGAGCAGTGACGATGGGGAGATGGGCGGCGCGCGGACAAGCTTATATTTCATCTCATAACTTAATTAATTAATTGGGCATGAACCCACCCTTGTTGTTATTTAATTTGGACTGGACTTATTTATTTATTTCCGCATTTACTCCGTACTTTTATACACACGTTTTGGGAGTAATTCCCCGGCATTTATTTCACTAAATTAAGAACAACCGTTTTCTTATTAAATAATCATTAATGTTTTTGTAACGGACGGTTCTCGGACTGTCCATGTAACCCTACCGGTCCGTCGGGTAGCGGGTGAACCGGGTCCACGGAGGGCGGGTGTTACAATTTGGTATCAGAGAGGTTCGGTTTTGTAAAAAAATTGTCAAATTGGGTCAAAAGGGTTTTTTTTTCAAAAAGTCCACAGCCGCATCTCCCATCACATCACTCCCAGGGAAAGGTACACCGTTATTTTAATCACATGTATGTCATATTGTAGTTAGTTCTGATTTAAATTATTTCTTTAGAGAATGAGCCAAGCAGCTGGCAACGACGGACAGGCTGTCCCAGAGGGGGAACCTGAACACGTGAGTGTGCACACTGAAGCGTCAAGCTTCACACCTCAGCAGGCCTCCGAGCAGGCGGTCCCGGGCGTGGGTCCTATTCCGGAAGCCGTTCCCATTATCCAGCCGCAGATCACGGCTAACTTCATTAACTTCCTTCAGCAGATGGCTGGAGCATACGTTCCACCGCCGTCGCCACCGCCACCACCAGTGGCGGTGGTCACCATCGAGAAGCTTCCGAAGAACGGAGCTGAGGAATTTTTGGGCGATCAAATCGCCGACCCTATGATTGCCAAACGGTGGTTCGAGCGAACCATACGAGTGCTGGGGAACCTGAGGGTTCCACAGGAGCAGCGTGGCGACCTCGCAGTTGCCTTACTTCAGGATTCCGCCTACGACTGGTGGAAGCGTGTAGGAGCGGACGTTCCGGAGCCGGTGCAGTGGGCCACTTTTGACCGACTCTTTCATGAGGAGTACATCCCGGAGCACTTCGTCGAGGCGAAGCGAGAGGAGTTTTTGAAGTTCACCCAGGGTGAACTCACGCTGCCTGAGTATCGTCAGAAGTTTGACGAGCTCGCGGGGTTTGGGCAAGACCTCGTACCGACGGTGGAAAAGCGGTGCCAACGCTTCGTGGAGGGCTTACGTCCTGACCTTTCAACTCATCTGATTAATTCTCCACGGAGTGACATCAATAAGTTGTACAAGAATGCGTTGGACCTGAATGCGGCTCTCATCAGGAAGGCTAAATTCGAGCAGGCTCAGGGGGTATCAGCAGCACCATCCCGTCCTCCTCCACCTCAGAAGGCGGGGACCAGCAGCAAGAGGTCCTTTGTAGCACCGAGCAGCTCTCACCAGAGCAAGAAGGTGAAGTCAGCCCAGCTCAGTCGTCCGCGTCCGTGCAAAAGAAGGGCAAGAGCGGAGATGGGTTCCGCAACCCGATTTGCGACCATTGTGGGCGCAGGCACCCAGGGGAGTGTTGGTACACTCTGGGCTTGTTCCTTGGGTGTGGCCAGGCCGGGCATTTCCGAAAAGATTGTCCGAAGAATCCGGGGGAGGCATTCCCGCCGCACCGGCCGCTTCCGCCCCAGCAGCACAGCCCGCTCAGAGCCAGAAGTCGGCAGCAGCGTCCAGTCAGCCCAAGCGGCAAGCATCAGGCGCTCAAGGGGGAAAGGCCCCGGCTCGTACTTACGCGATGCGAGGGCGTACCGAGCAGCCAGCCCATGACGTCATCATGGGTATGTTTACCTTATTCGATACATCTATTATAGCTTTGATTGATCCGGGTTCCACTCTATCATATGTTTGTATGCCTATGCCTGTTATGCCTAACCTTCCGAGGGAAAATTTAGACAATCCGGTAATAGTGTCCAACCCATTGGGACACAGTCTACGACTCACCCATGTGTATCACGATTGCCCATTAGTGGTCCAGGGAAAGATTTTCCCTGCGAGTCTCATTGAGCTTCCACATCGTGAGTTTGACGTTATTCTAGGCATGGATTGGCTCACCGCCAACCAAGCCGTTGTTGACTGTGGAGCTCATACTGTTCGACTGAGAGCTGAAGACGGTAGTGACGTACTGATCCATGGTGAGCTTCTTCCGAAAGCTCCAGAATTCATTTCCTACATTCATGCTCGTCGACTCATTCGCAAGAAGTGTGAAGCATTCTTGTGCACAGTGCGTGACACTCGTCAGGAGGCGCCTAGTAGGGGGGACATCCCTACGGTATGTGACTTTCCTAATGTGTTTCCAGATCACTTACCTGGTCTACCGCCCCCTAGGGAGGTAGAGTTTTCCATAGATCTTGTTCCAGGAACAGGACCGATCTCGATCACACCTTATCGCATGGCGCCTGCGGAGATGAAGGAGCTGAAGGCTCAACTACAGGAGTTGCTGGATAAGGGCTTCATCCGACCTAGTGTGTCTCCTTGGGGAGCACCGGTTCTGTTCGTCCGCAAGAAGGACGAATCGATGCGGTTGTGCATTGATTACCGTCAGTTAAACAAAGTTACCATCAAGAACCGATATCTGTTACCCCGCATTGACGATTTGTTTGACCAGCTGAGAGGAGCCACGGTCTTCTCTAAGATCGATCTCCGATCAGGGTACCATCAAATTCCCGTCAAGAAGGAGGACATTCCTAAGACAGCTTTCCGCACGAGATACGGTCATTATGAGTTCACAGTCATGCCCTTTGGATTGACCAACGCACCAGCAGTATTCATGGATCTGATGAACAGTGTGTTCCGGAAGCATCTTGATCAGTTTGTTGTGGTCTTCATCGACGACATCTTGGTGTATTCCAAGACACAAGAGGAGCACGCCGAGCATCTGCGTATCGTTTTGAGCATTCTTCGGGAACAGCAGCTTTACGCCAAGCTGTCCAAGTGCGAGTTCTGGTTGCACGAGGTTACCTTCCTCGGCCATGTCATCTCGGCTGAAGGTGTGAAGGTAGACCCGTGCAAGATAGCAGCGATCACGGAGTGGAAGACTCCGCGGAATGCACGTGAGGTGAGGAGTTTTCTCGGACTGGCGGGTTACTATCGTCGGTTCGTGAAGGACTTCTCCAAAATAGCATCGCCACTACACAAGCTGATGAGGAAGGACGTTAAGTTCGTTTGGACTGACGCCTGTCATCAGAGTTTCGAACAGCTGAAGGAGTGTCTGACCCAAGCACCGGTTCTGGTCCAGCCCACTCCAGGAATGGAGTATACAGTATTCAGCGACGCATCCCATAACGGCTTGGGGTGTGTTCTCATGCAGGAGGGCAAGGTCGTTGCGTATGCGTCTCGGCAGCTGAAGCCGCACGAGTGTAATTATCCGACACACGACCTAGAGCTAGCAGCCATTGTACTTGCCTTTAAAATCTGGAGGCATTACCTCTACGGTGAGACGACGCGTATCTTCACCGACTATAAGAGTCTTCAGTACCTGTTGACGCAGAAGGATCTGAATCTCCGACAGAGGAGGTGGTTAGAGTTGATTAAGGACTATGACTGTCACATCGCTTACCACCCAGGTAAGGCGAATGTGGTAGCCGATGCCCTTAGTCGTAAGACTCTAGCTGTGCTACACGTCCAGCCTACATTACAACAGCAGATAGCCTCAGCCCAGAGCAGCGATGATTTCTGTATCCAGACCGTGGAGCTCGTCTCTCGAGGAGAGAAGCCGGATTTTGCAGTCCAGGATGGTATCTTGTACTATCGGGAGCGCATGGTTGTGCCAGCGGGGGAGGTGAGAGAACGCCTGCTTCGCGAAGCACACAGCACTGTGTATACCATGCACCCGGGCAGTAACAAGATGTTCCAGGACCTTAGGAGACATTACTGGTGGCCCGCGATGAAGCGGGAGATCACTGAATTTACGTCACGGTGTTTGACTTGTCAGCAGGTTAAGGCCGAGCACCAGGTTCCTTCAGGATTGCTTCAGCAGATCACCATTCCTGAGTGGAAGTGGGATCGCATTACGATGGATTTCGTCGTGGGACTGCCATTGTCACCACGTAAGCACGACACAGTTTGGGTCATCGTTGATCGGTTGACCAAGTCAGCACATTTTCTCCCCATTCGTCGTGATTTCTCACTCCAGCGATTAGCAGAGTTGTACATCCGCGAGATCATCAGGCTGCATGGAGTACCGTCATCTATTATTTCGGATCGTGACCCTCGATTCACATCACAGTTTTAGAGGAGTCTACAGAGGGCCTTGGGCTCCGATCTCCACTTTAGTACGGCATTCCACCCTCAGACAGACGGTCAGTCGGAGAGGGTGATCCAGATTCTTGAGGACATGATGCGTGCGTGTGCAATCGACTTTGGGGACGGTTGGGAGCAATACCTGCCACTCATGGAGTTTGCATACAACAATAGTCACCAGGCTAGCATTGGTATGGCACCTTATGAGGCTCTGTACGGTAGACCCTGTCGTACCCCTACCTGTTGGACAGAGCTTAGTGAGAGGAGGCTGGAAGGGCCTGATCTCGTTCGCGAGACCGAGGAGAAGGTCCAGGTGATTAAAGATCGACTTAAGGCGGCTTCGGACCGACAGAAGTCCTACGCCGACCTTAAGAGGCGGGATATCGAGTATGCAGTCGGAGACAAGGTTTTCTTGAAGGTGTCACCTTGGAAGAATGTCCTACGATTTGGCAAGAGGGGAAAATTGAGTCCGAGGTTTATAGGCCCATACCCAGTCACTGAACGGGTGGGACCTGTAGCTTACAGGCTCGAGTTACCATCGGAACTGAGCAAGATTCACGATGTTTTCCACGTGTCCATGCTTCGGAGGTACCGGTCGGACCCATCACATGTGATACCAGCTGATACAGTCACACTTGATGATAATCTTACATACGAAGAGGAGCCGGTTGAGATTCTGGCTCGCGAGGTCTGTCAGTTGAGGAACAAAACCATTCCGCTGGTCAAAGTTCTGTGGAGAAGTCACACCGTCGAGGAGGCAACATGGGAAACCGAGGAATCCATGCGCACTCGTTACCCACATCTTTTCAGTGACTAGTGATCAGGTAAATTTCGAGGACGAAATTTTCTTAAGGGGTGGATAATTGTAACGCCCTGCAACCCGGTCTAATAGAGTTGATTACTTTAAATAATTAATTACTGTTCCGGACCGGAGTTGGGGAAAATGAAAAGTTCTTAGAAAAATTATTTGATCATATCATTAAATTCATCTTGACTATCTGATTCCAAAAACGCAAACGGATTTCAATTCGGACCCGTTTGGGGGAAAAAGCGCGTATTGTTCAGGTCAGATTTTACATTTCAGAGTAGAATAAACATTGTAACCCCCCAATTAATCCCATACGCCACCCCTAACCTCCATCATTACCATCACCATTATTCCATAATCATTATATTAAATTAAAACCCCATCTCTCCCTTCAATTTTCTCTCCACTTTGTAACTCCCAAATATCACTCTCACTCTCTCTTCCTCTCCCCCATTGTTCGACCAGTCTAGCAGCAAAGGAAGACCTCCGGCGAAACTCCAGTGGGTGCAAGGTTGAAGGAGAAGAAGAGCCAGGTTGTTCGTGCGAAGCGTAGTCGTCGTTCGTTCGTTCGTTAGCACCGTTCGTTCATCTCGTTTCATCAATCCCTTCGTTTAGAGGTGAGTAGTTGTCCCCTCTAATTCTAGAACATTTAGTTATAATCCTTGTCGTTATACTCGTAGTAGTATCGTACGCAACCTACGTAGAACCTATGCATGTACGTAGGATAATCATCAACATGTTCATTATGCAAACCTATAAATTCTAGCCTAGGAATCACTAGAAATATATTCGTAGATGTTATACTTTTGTTCTAAAAAGAATCTAGGTGTTAAATTGGCAAAACGGACCAAAACGGAACAAAGGACGGCAGACTGCCTCCGGGACGGTCGACCGCCGCTATGGACGGTGGACCGTTCCCAAGGCCAAACCGACGGTCACCACCGTGACGGTCGACCGCCGGCCATGACGGAAGACCACGGTGGACCGTCGGCCATCCAGTCCCCCACAACAACAACGCAGTCCACGGTCGGCCGCCGTTAGGGTACGGTCGACCGTCCTTCGGGCAGTTTCCCGGGCAGTTTGTAAAACGAGCCCGTTGACCCAGAATCTGAACGTTCCTTGCATGAAAAGCAAATCTTTATTTCTTTTTAAATGTTGTATAATTAATATATTCTTGGCATTTACCAAAGGTAAAAATATCAAGCATTCATCATGTTCATTCTAGACGCATGTCTTAGGTTTCATCATGTGCATACCGCTGTAGGGAGGACTTCGTGCGCCTACTACAGTGGGCCCGTACAGGAACCCTTGGGGTCCAACGGGTTTTCATCATGTTGGGCTTGTGTACGTACATAGTAGTCAGGCTACGGCTACTACCCGGTTTTGCTAGTCCACTCGCGACATTTTCGTCGTGCCCGGCTCGTTACTGTTCGGGGACGATGACCGGAGTGCAGGGGTGATCCTGTCGAGTGAGACTAAGTCAGGAGTGTCTCAGATAGTCAAGTCATGCATCAAGTCATATCATCATCACGTATGAACCAATCGCCTTGTTATTTGTAATAGCTCTAACAGGTGGAACTAGACAATTAGTAACATGGGGTTTTTTTTCCCGTACGTTAAGTACAGGTATTAATATGTGTATAGCCATGTTGGTTATCACTTAATGTTCTTTTGTTAGATTCACTCCTCAGCTTTTTGCTGAGCGTGTAGTTGTTTTTGCTACACGCAGGTAGACATGACGGTGCTGGTGCCAACCCTGGAGAGCAGTGACGATGGGGAGATGGGCGGCGCGCGGACAAGCTTATATTTAATCTCATAACTTAATTAATTAATTGGGCATGAACCCACCCTTGTTGTTATTTAATTTGGACTGGACTTATATATTTATTTACTTCCGCATTTACTCTGTACTTTTATACACACGTTTTGGGAGTAATTCCCCGGCATTTATTTCACTAAATTAAGAACAACCGTTTTCTTATTAAATAATCATTAATGTTTTTGTAACGAACGGTTCTCGGACTGTCCATGTAACCCTACCGGTCCGTCGGGTCGCGGGTGAACCGGGTCCACGGAGGGCGGGTGTTACAAATTTACACAAAATAGAACTTGAACCAATTTTTTCAAAAACATTACGTATTATTTAGTGAAGGAATATAAAAATATTACTCCGGGATATTATTTTTATAATATTTTAGTATATATGTTCGGTTCGGGATTTTCGGTATGGGAAGTCACCTCGTACCGTTCCCAAATACCGTACCGACCATTTGGTTCGGTACGATTCGGTTCCTTCTCGGTACTTTTTTGGTTCGGTATTTTTTGGTTCGGTATTCTCAGTTTTTTCGGAAAACTTCGGTATCGATTCGGTACTTGCTCACCCCTATACAAAATCACTTGTGAGTTATCATTTACTAATTCAAAAATTAAAAGAATTAAATTAAATAAAATCAAAAGGACAAATCACAATGCATATATCAATCATTACAGTGCATTCACTTTACATCTATCATCGTGGATAGCACAGTGCATCACTGCATCTCTCCACCATAGAATTTTCCATCAAACAATTATTCATTATTGATTTTATTAAAACAAACAGAAAAACAAAATATAAAGCCATATTAATGAATATGACAATCTATCTATTATTTAAAAAGCCATGAATTTGCATTGGTCTTTTCCCGCCCATTTCATGGTGTAGAAAATATGGTAATTCTTCACTCCATATGGTAATTACTAAATGGTAATTAATGAATCATTAAAATAACTGTGTATAAAAAAGGTATGAAAAAAGTATAAAAACTGTGTATAAAAAAGGCAACGAATGCTCAATTAAAAATGGTAATTTAATATAACCGTGTAATTAAAATCGTAACGAATGTTAATTTAATATACAAGTGTGTGAAAAACTGTTTTTACATTTTTAAATGTATATTAATACACAGAATCATGTGCTCATAAAATTAGTAAGTATTAAATATTTTTTTATATGGTAATATTTAAATGCAAAACCGTGTAATTACTACGGATATAACTTTAAAAAGGCAATATATGTAAATCAAAGGTATATTAAATAAAAGAATTAATACAAGGGATACACGTTCCAATCAATGCTCCAGACTTTCCATTATTATTTTTATTTAATAGAGTAAATTCCATAAAAGGTCCCCAGTTATAGGTCGTTTTACATATTTAGTCCCTACATATCAAATATTACTAATTTGGTCCCCAATTATTATATTTATTTCTACGAATGGTCCTTTGTTAACATTTTCATTAAAACGTGGATAAAATTATAAATTCACACTCCTTTCTCTCCTCAATTAAGCATTCTCCTCCCTTGTACTCCTTTCTCAAACCCGTCGCTGAGTTTCTAGCTTTGAACCCTAAACCAAAATCATCACTCTTCTCTCAATTGTTTATCTAACTGGAGGAACGATCATTTAAATTTTGGGTTTAAGAGCTTCAAACTCAGCGACGAGTTTGGGAAAGAGTATGAGAAGATGAAGAAAGCTTAATTGAGGAGAGAGAGAAGTATGAATATACAATTTTATCCACGTTCTTAACGGAATTAAATGTTAACAAAGAATCATTCGTGGAAATAAATATATTAATTGGGGACTAAATTAGTAATATTTAATAGTATGGTATTGTGTTGCCATTTTAAAATTTAAAGGTATATTAAATAATAGTATGTTTCACGGTATTAGTATTTAGTACATGGTATTTAAAAAAACATTATACACCGTTTTGAATATGAAAGAATAATAAATATTACATGGTGAAAAATGTCGTAATTGAAAAATGATGTTAATATACTTTATTTAAAAAGATATATATGGAGTCAACCTTTGTTTTTTCCGCCCATGCGTTATTACAATAACAAATGACAATTGTTCACCTAAAATGGTAAGTTTCCGAAAATAATATAATAATAAATATTAAAAACTTATGCGTGTGCTTAATTCCCCATGCATTATTACATTTACAAAAATGGCAATTATTTACTTAAAATGGTAATTTTTATTACATTGAAAAATGGAAATGTTCACTTAAAATGGTAAGTTACCAAAAATATAGTAATTATTATTAAAAACTTGCGCATGTGCTTAATTTTCCATGCGTTATTACATTTACAAATGGCAAGTTAATTATAATGAAGTTAAAATTAATATTAGTTTTTGCACACAATGCCTTTAAAAAACGTGAAAGTTTAAATCTAAAAAATAATTATTACATAATATTAATAATCTTAAAAAATTAATCTAAAAAAATGGTTTAAAAGCTATAAATGCAATTCCTTTTTTTATCGCATTGAATTTATCAATTCGTACGGCGTGTTCTAATTATACAATTTTGTACGTTATTTTAACCTCTTTTTTTTTGTGTAGGGGTGTTCGGAATGTGTTCCTTTTTTATCACACGGTATTTTAATACTGTAATTGTTATTTTTATACACCCAATTGGAAATAATTACAAAAGGTAAATTATACAATTATACACCCAATTTCACAAAAAAAAATGGAAATAATTAAAAGGTAAGTTATACAATTATACACACAATTTCACAAAAAAGATAATTGGAAATAATTAAAAAGGTAAGTCCCAATTTCCTTTTGAATACGAACAGTTTTATCTCCGATTTTTAAAAATTACTTTTTAAAAACTTGATACTATTAATCAAAAAAATAATTATTATTATTAATCTGAAAAAATGGTTTAAAAGCTATAATAAATACGTACTCTTTCTTTTTTATCACACGGTAATAACCACTTTTAACACGTAATCATTTTTAAAAAGGAACATATAATATGACACCGTTTATAATTGGTAATTAATTTTAAAAAAGGAACAAATAATATGACACCGATAATTGGTAATTAATCCATATCCATACTTTATTTAAAAAGATATGGAGTCAATATATGGTTTCCCACCTAAAGAGTATGACAATTACAAATGGCAATTGTGAAGTTAAAGTGGTAAGTGGCCAAAATTATAGTAATAATTTT